CACATGCTGTACTGTGTGAGCTGCTGCTCTCTCTCTCACACACACACACACACTGTGGTTTGAGGCAACGTTCTCCCTCACACAAACACCCACCCACAGTATTGTGTGAGCCGCTGTTCTCACACACACACAGCACTGTGTGTTACTCTTGCAATTGAATAACCACATGGGATACAAACCCATAGGCCAGTGCTGCTTGGGGGGGGTCCATTGCCAGGCACGTGGGGGCTGATTCTCTCCTGTCTCTCCCATGGGCTGGCTGCAGCGGTATCAATGCGCGGGCTGCCAGGACCCTCTGCAGACCTGTGCACAGGAGCAGAATGCAGGGACCGATGGGTGCAATACGCTGTGGATCTAGGGACGATTCGCCTCAGAGCACAGGAGATTTGTAAGGCGTTCCCCCTTCCAGGCCATAGAGTGACATTAGCCTACATGGTGATTGCACCCTCGCTCTTCAGGGTGTTTAGCTGGAGGCTATGCCGCTTTTCCTTTCCTTGCCAAAGCATCTCTCTCCACCAGGAACTCCCCATCTCCCTCTGTCTGGATACCTGTGGTACTCACCTGGCCCCCAGCCCCATCACAGTCTGTAGTGTGTCTATCCCCACAACGCCCGTGTGAGGAAGGGAAGTGCTGTTACCTCCAGGGAGCTGAGGCACAGATGGTACGGCCCAGATCCATAGAAGTATTTAGGCTCCTTCCATTGTTATCACTTGACCACAGGCACACAGGAAGCGTGTAGCAGAGCAAGGAGCTAGTGATGATCCACAGATGGTCACCAGCCCTTTAAGCCCCAAACTAAGAATTGCTCTGATTCTACTGTGGTTAAGGACAACCACAATGATTTACCCTGAAAAAAAATATGCCGCCTATCTCCATAGCATTTCTGTTTTACTGATTCAAAAGTAGTTGATTGTTGCATGCCGTGCCGTCTCTTTTGGGAGCATTGCCGACTGGGTAGGGTGTGGGTGTGGTGTGAACTTCATATCACCTTGCATGACTGGAGCTGCAGGTGGGAGGAAAGGAGTCCTGTTGCTGCCTGAAGGATGGCAGGAATTCACACACATGCTACATGCTCTTCCTGGATTAGCTTAATAGAGCTGTGTCCTAAAAAAGGCTATTGGCCTGATTCAGAGACCATTGAAGACTCCCACTGACATCTGTGGGCTTGGCTCAGGTCCTATTTGACTATAAAGTGTCCTGATTAAACTGGAAGTGGGTTCAAATCCCAGACAGAATTACTTAGAACTAAGATACTATCAGTGGGAGTGTTATAAATAGCTAGATAGATACACAGCACAGTATTGCTAAAGGTAAACTTTACAAAAATTAAGAGGCAGGAACCTCTTGAAATAAGGAGCTTGTCTCGAAAATCATGATTTTTTTTAAAAAGAAAACAATAAATGTGTGGTTCTTTATATTTGCTTACTGGTTTCTGAGCCTCTAGGGTTCATCTGTTCAGACTTTTCTCAGTAACCATAAAGGCTAGACATTTATTTTTCTTTTAAATGGAGGCTGAGATTCTCAGGGAATCACAGGACTCCAGGAGCTGGAGCTTTGAGAAAAACAACTATCGGGAGACTTGGGATAAATATCATGAATTCACAACACTGTAAGCAAGTCAGAGAGAGGAAAGTCTAGTATTTTATGGGACTCATCGGAATTTATGAGTAGAAACATAAGAACATAGGAATGGCTATATTAGGTCAGACCAATGGTCCACCTGGCTCAGTATCTTGTCTTCTGACAGTGAACAACACGAGGTGGTGTTACTGGTTGCTTCAGAGGGAATGAACAGAACAGGGCAATTATTGAGCGAACCATCCCCTGTTGTCCACTCCCAGCTTCTGGCACTTGGAGGCTAGGGACACCCAGAGCATGGGGTTGCATCCCTGACCATTGATGGACCTATCCTCCATGAACTTATCTACTTTTTTTTTAACCCAGTTATACTTTTGGCCTTCACAACATCCCCTAGCAACAAGTTCTACATGTTGATTGTGTGTGTGAAGAAATACTTCCTTTTGTTTAAAACTGCTGCCTATTAATTTCATTGAGTGACTCCTTGTTCTTGTGTTATGTGAAGGGGTAAATAACACTTCCCTATTTATTTTCTCCACACCAGTCATGATTTTATAGACCTCTATCATCATTTTTAGTCATCTCTTTTCCAAGCTGAAAAGTCTCAGTCTTATTAATCTTTCTTCCTATGGAAGCTGTTCCATACCCCTAATCATTTTTGTTGCCCTTCTCTGTATCTTTTCCAATTCTAATATATGTTTATTGAGATGGGGCGACCAGAACAGCATGCAGTATTCAAGGGGTGGGCGTATCATGTATTTATATAGTGGCATTATGATATTTACTGTCTTATTATGGATCACTTTCCTAATGGTTCCTAACATTCTGGTAGCTTTTTTGAGTGCCGCTACAGATGTTTTCAGAGAACTATCCCCAATGACTCCAAGACCCCATCATTTTGAATGATTAGTTGGGATTATGTACAAAATACCAACAGCACGAGCGGGATCCACATCAGGGTGTCAATGTTATTCAAAGATTTTTATTTTTATGAAAAAATATAAAATTTTATATCTTACACTACAAAAACATGTACACAAACAAAATGCACATAAAGCATCAAAGGAAAAATAAAAATAAAAGGAAATAAATACAGCAATGCTAAGCCTTCTATGAGTTAAAACTCCAATGCAGGAAATTGAGCTTAATGCAATTGGGGCAGTGTTTAATAGAGGCGCTCCGAGTCCTGACCCACCTGCACTAAGGGGTTTAGATGGACTTAATAATAAAGGACTCGAAACTATATGTTACTCTCAGACTGCTATCAATGTATTTCACACACTTCTTAATGACTAGTTTCAAAACTACAGCAGTCTTAGGAGTCACAATTTTTTGACCACGGGGACTTCTACATGTTTATATTCAACACCGAATAGACACAACTTTTTCACCTTCATCATATTTTTGTTAACATAGAGAAGGAATAAATAAAGTTTACAGCTGACTTTTTTTCATCAGTCTTCTTTTTTTTTTTTATGATTAGATAACTTCTCCAAAGAATAAATGGAGGTCCTTCTAAACAAGAACTGCGCCTAGAAAGACTTCCTCCTTCAGAGATGAAAAAGAACGTTATGAAAAGCATGTTCCTATCTACCATTCCCTTTGAAATATTCCCTTACAATTAGCAGCAAAATGGACTGAAAAAAGTAATCTATGTAACCATCTGGGCTACTGAGTTGGAAAAGCAAACCACTGTGACTTACCCTAGGTATATACTCTAAGTACAGCTAACAATTTAATTCTGATTAGCAAACTTCACCATCTTAATGTAGGTAACATTTGCATTTTTCTTTCAGGTTTTAATTTCCGGTACACCACTAGTAAGGATAGCTAACTATAGTTCTTAGCTTTTTTCCCCCTCTATGCTTAGACAGAGCAAAACCAGAAAAATATTGTGACCTGATTCTACTCCATGACAATATATACAATATTCCATTTCTAATACCTGATTTTAACCTACAGTATATATTTTTAGTTGCCACCCTTTTCTTGTATAATAACGAAAAATATCTTCCAAAAGAAAATGTCTCTGCTTGTGCTTTGTATGATATCCCAGCTCTGCTAAGGTAAAATAAAGATTCGTTGACTTTAGGCTGCAATTTTCAGAGGGACCTAAGGGAGTAGGTGCCTAGGGCCAGATCCTCAAAGATATTTAGATGCCTACTCCGATTGAAATCAAATGGGAGTTAGGAGCCTAAATAGCATTGGGGATCTGGACCTAAGTCCCATGGCCCCTTTTGAAAGTTCCAGCTTAAAAACTGGGTGCCTAAGGATTGGGCCCCAAATCCATATTTAGGTAACTAAATGAAGGGTTTGATTTTCCAATATGCTGAGCACCCAGCAGCGCCCTCTCTGGCTACAACAGGAATCTTGGCTTCACTTTGGAAAATCAGGGCACTTATTTAGGCCCCTGTTTTCGAAAATCTTGGTCATGGGGGTTTTTCACTCATGTACAGAGTCTATTATAAACAGATTTGTAGCATCGTAAGTGCTTGCATTAAATATAAGAAGGTTTGTATATGTATTTAAATAATTAAGAAAAAGTGCCCAGTCTATTGACAAATGCAATCTGGTTGTGGGCATTCCTTTTTCTACTAGTTAACCATAAAGATATCCGGAAGGATGGTCCAGCAAATGGCAATTGATTACACTGTTCTTGGAAGGTAATTCTCACCTTCCTGTAGTAAATCCCCCAAACACTGTATATGCGATTGAAAAACACAAATGGCCAAGGGGATTTTGTTTTAAAAGCCCACAAAAAAGAACAAAACCAAATTCCCCCCCTGCGTTTTTCACAGAGCGCTCATTCACTCCATCAGTTAACAAGTGACTGAAGAGAACAGGTAGACAAGGGAGAGGATAAGAGCTGGAAGTTGCTAATAAAAATCTCTCCAAGTACAGCTGATTGATGGAAGTGGCAATTGAAGAATTCCTCCCGAAGAATTAAGTTGTTGTGTCTGTCTTCCTGCGGATTATTTTACAAAGCACTGCAGGCAGGAAGATGCAGAGAATCCCACAACGGTTCCCCTGACAGCTCTAATAATGTGGTTTATTCTTTGACAAATCTCCTTTATGTGCGGCAATTGTTATGTCTTGATTTGTTTTTGTGTTTCTTTGTGGCCCAGTGGCTGACAAAAATAAAACAATGGGACAAGAAATCACACAATCAAGATTTGTCAAACCTCCCCTTCTGGTTTGCTGCCTCGCTGCATCTCATGAAAGCTCCCTGTATCAGTTGTCTCTTTTTTCCATTTCTCACATTTGCAGATGAATTTGGTACCTTTCCAATTGGTGACAGGTCCAGGGGTGAACAGATGTAGGAAGAAGGCATTTCTTTACTCCCTTTCCAGAGACATCTGACTTCTTCCTACATCTGTTCACCCCTGGACCTGTCACCAATTGGAAAGGTACCATAGCTCACTGAGAAGTAACTAACAGTTCTAGAAGGAAGATGGGTTTTTAGGTGTATGCTTTTACTAAACAAGTTTGCAGGAAACTTGCAGATGCCCCAAAGGGATTTAGGAGCACAAGCCCCATAGAAAATCTTTCTTTGTGAGAGATTTTGTTTGATTAGAAGCTGCTATTTGTATTTGGGGTTTGAGGAACTATAAAAAGAAGAAATGTTTAAGAACAACTAAAGTGGTATTCAGATACGTGCGTCTGAGTGAGAGGAATGAATAAGTCAAGCAACAGATTAGGTGCTCTTTTTTTTCCAGAGGTGAAGAAGAGAAAGGAAAACAGAATATGTTGATACCATCTTCAAGAAAGAATGCTGCAAGATGCTATCCAACCCATATAAACAACTAATATTCCCTAGAATAATGAAAAATATTTGCCATCATTTGAGCAAGTCTTTCAATCCCTATCTTTATCAGAGCCTTTTTTCTTAAAACGAACTATGGGGCCAACTATGGACAATTGGAGAATTTCATCTATACAGAAATACAATCAAAGTCCCTCATTGTTTCAAGATGGGATTCAATGGGAGCTGGGTGCCTAATTCCCATAGGTTCCTTTGAAAATCCCAGCACCCGGGCTTTACAATGTGCAAACTGAAACTGGTCAAGTTCTGGCTAGAGCAATGTTGTTGTTCAAACAAATGACTCCATTATTATAGGATTCCACTACATTTATCAAATTGAGCACATTTCTCCTTCTGCTCCTGTATGCTTTGTGACAGAGTGGGACATGTCTGTATCAAACTGTAACAAGATGGGTGAGGTAATATCTTTTAATGGACCAACTTCTGTTGGTGAGAGAACTGCGCTATTGAGCTACACAGATCTCTTCTTCGGGTCTGGCTTTATGTAGCCCGAAAGCTGGTCTCTTCCACAAATTGAAGTTGGTCCATTAAAAGATTACCTCACCCCCCTTGGCGCTCTCATATCCTGGGATCAACATGGCTACCACACTGCAAAGAATCAAACTGTAACCTCCATCTTGTGTTAGGAACTCCATTTTGTGTGATGTGCCGAACACAAGCCTAACCTTAATCAAGGGAAGGTTATTGAATTGCTTTGCAGATAGACACTCTACCCAGGAAAGCTGCTTGACATCTCACTGAAGGGACATCAGGAGAAATCAATATGACAGTCTAGGGCCATCCACTTTGATTGTCTCCCAACTGCTGACTCAATGGAACAATGGTTTTTCTACACTGGGGCCTGAAGGAGGAGAGGGATAAGCCTTCCAGAGGAGCACCTGGGCGAAGGAGACAGAGACTGCACTTAAGAAGGGGTGCTGCTCTGAGTTGGGGGGCTGACCATCACCACAGAACTGAAGGCTTGGTGGAACAAGAGGGCAGGAGGGACTTTGTCCAGACCACAGGCTCACAAGAGCAGTGAGATCCGACTAATGGAGCACTCAGGACTTCCATTATATTTTGATGCTCTGTAACTGCAATGTTTTGAAGAGTAAAGTGTCTGTGGTGAAGAGACTCCTTGCCTAAGCCTGTGCTCCCTGCTTCCCTGCCATGTTGTCCTTCAAGTAGTTAACATCAGACCCCAGAGAGCCCACAGCCTCAGTGAAGCTCTGGGCGAGCGTGTGTAAGCAACTGAGTGGCTCGGGAGGTCAGAGGCACTGGTTTTATTGACTAGGGTGGTGGACTGACAAGCCAAGGAAGGGCTCAAGACAAGAGGTCTGAGCCTGGGAGTGCACCCTATAGATCCAGAGCTAAAAACAGTGACTAGTCTGTACCCAGACCCAGTTGGCTTGGAAGCACATGGGTCCCTGAGATTAAGTCCGTTTGTACCAGACTGGTTACAGTACACAGGGGTGCTGAGCCATGCTGGATATTTTAGGGGGAGACTTTCAAAGGTACAGAAGAAATTAGGTACCCAACTGCCATTGAAAGCCAGTGTGAGTTGGATGGCTAACTCCCATTTATGTTTTTGAAATCTGCCCCTTAATAGCCAGAGCTCATGTAGAAATAGAGGGAGAAATGACTTTTATTGAAATGCACGCTTGCTCCCTCACATATGTAATTAAAACTCCTGAAAGCTTTGTTTTCATATGTTGTTTGAACTAAAGAGCAGCAAAAATACAAGCAAAGTGGTAGCACAAAACAACCAAAACCAAACCAACCAAAACCAAATCTAACCAAAAATTCTTGTACCTGGGTGTGTAGCAAACTGTACAGTATATACATATTAATCATGTATTCATCTCACAGAAGAGCAAATTAAAAGGAACTTTATAACACAGAGGGGGGAAAATATACACCCTGTATTGTATTTGCCACTGAACAAGCAACATGTTTCTACACTAGTCTCTATAACGTAACGCTGTGTAACAGCATCTTTTAAATTTACGAAACAAAATATCTATCAAGAAATAATCTAATCATATTGCTCTTCAATACACTTCTGTAGACAATTAAGACTTGAAGTAAACTTCAGTAAACTGCAGCTTTTGTTAGCCCATGAATGACTACAAAACTTTTCCATTCAAGTAAGTCCTTGGAAGTATTAACATGTGCTGCCATAATTCAGTATATAAAGGTGCTCTCTATATAGTCCATGTACAGACAAAGTGTGGCGGGAAGCCTTTTTCTTGTCATTGCTGAAGCATAAGAAAATGGTTAACCTCATGTACAGTAGATCCATTTCCATGCATGTTACATTTACTTCAGGAATATGAAGACACAAATAGGAAGGAAAGGAAAATTTTAGTCAAACACTGATTATAAATTATGTGGCAGAGGCCAGCCAATGTCCATCAGTTATAGAAATAACCGATTTTCCCTTTTTTTTTCTTATAATAAATCTCAGGGCTAGTTTACAAAGTGCAGGGTCGATCACTTGAGAAAGTGACTTTAAAACCAAGTTACAATGGCACCATCCCATTCACCAACTGGACCTTCATCTCTTGAAGGCTGCTCATTATCTTCTTCTGGTGACCAACAAGTGTCACTCCAAGCCGCCTCAAATCCCTGTGTGGAGAAAGCACATGTAGGTTCTCTAGATTACTGTGGGCAGATCTCAGTATTTAAGAACTTTTAGGTGCTGTAAATGGATAGTGATACTAACACCTCACGCTTACCGTACATGGATCTCAGACTGCTTTACAAAGGTGGTATCATTATCCTTTTTAAAAAAAAAAAAAAACAGATGGGGAAATCTCAGGCCCTGAGAAGTGAAGTAATTTGCCAGGAACATAGAACAGGCCAGAGCTTAAATAAGGAGCTGGGAGCCAAACTTTGATCTCCTCATTCTGAAAATGTTGGACCGAACTGTGTAAATGTGAAACATCTGATTTGAACGTCGCACCAGACGAAACTATTTCCTTCGGCTGATGTTCTGAGCAGATTACAGTGAATACATCAAAATGATGACATAGCCTCTGGCTTTAATTTTCTCATCAGATTGGAGAGCCAAAGCTTTATTCCTTTTATCAAACACATACAGAAATGTCTGGTTGCAGTGAGAGCGCTGGGGGCTACACTAGTATGAAAATCAGCCTCTTAATCAAGCTGTTTTGCTTGATACGTGTATTAGCCAAACACCAAGTGGGTTCATTTATACCACAGGAGCAATTCAGCACACTAGGGACGTCCAGTTCAGACTTCCCAGTCCTTGAGAAACACCTCCCAGTCTGGGTGACAGACTTTTGGGGCTCAGTGTAATTATCTTAATGGGTTATGTGGATACAAACTACAAGACTCAAGATAATCTGCTGGCAGTTTATTGGGTTGGGGGCTGTTGAATGAACCATGCTTGATTCTTGGGAAATTCTGTAGTATGTATAAAGATTGTGTTGCTTGTCTCCACCAGTAGGTGCCAGCGTTAAGCAGAAGAAAGTGCTCTTTTACCTAAAAGTGAATTAAATATTAAAGATCCTATTAGGACTTCATATTTTCTTAAGGAGAACAATTTGAATGTGGAATTTTGCTGTAAAAATTATGCCATAATATGGCTTTAGGGCTATTATTTATGCTAATGTTTTGGGAGGGAAGGATCCAGTCATGTGTATTTATGTTTCTGACATAAGATGACATGACTGTTAGAATACTTATAAATGATTATGAAGGGATGAGGGCCCCTGTCCTGAAGCCTTCCTACGCGAGGAACTCTAGAATTCCACCTGTGAAGTGCCTTCTAAATCAGGTCTGGAGTAATTAATGTATCAATTTTTACAATATAAGGGTTCTAATCTCCTTTTTCCTACATGTACATAACTCCAATTGATGCCAATGGGAGTTTCATGAGCACATTGGGTGGGATTTTCGAAAGTGCCCAAGTAATTTAGGAGCCCTGAAAATCATTGGGACTTGTGCTCAGGAATTTCTGAAAATCCCTCCCCTCGAGAAGAATACTGATCACTGTGGGGGCCAGTTTCTCCAAACTGCTCAGCACCCAGCAGGTCCCAAAATCCGGCTGCTTCCTTCTGGTGCCTAAATGGGAGCTGAGTTATTTTGAAAATCTGCCCCTAGGGATTCTGTGTTCAATAATCAGACTGTATCTCAAAAACTGTTTTGTACACAAAACGAACAGGGCTGACTTGGGTATTTTAACAAGTAATCCTGTCCAAGGGGAGGGAAAGCTAGATCTGTCCTCCACAGACTGACACATTTTCAGCCTTTTGAGTTGGAACAAGCCTGCTTTGTTTAGCTACACTGCCACCTTTCAGCTGGTGCATGAGATGCATAAAGGAAGTCACAACCTGTGTGCGACAGAGGTCAGGGAACCACAACTGCATGCTCGTTATTTGGAACAAAGGACTTTTAATGGCTGCAAAAGTGTCTCACTTTTTCTGAGACAGACCTTTCATTTCGGCCTCCACTGAATTGTGAAAACGGTTCAGCAAGTGACACAGCAATCTTAATAATGAAGGAACAGGTGGGAATGCCATTGCAATGGGTGATTCATTTTCAGTACACAGCACAGCTGGTAATGTACACCAGAAATAGGATGGTAGGGTCAGATTTTTAAAAAGGCTCAAAACCCTCCCCCCATTTTTTTTTCAGTGGGAACTGTTGGGGGACGAGCGCATTTGAAAATCCAGAAGCTTCACTTAAGGTAACTAAAATGGGAGCTTAGCTTTTCTGAAAACCTGGCCCCAAATATTTAATACATTCATAGTTTCTCTGATGGTGTCACTCTGCTCCAGCCATACAATGCAGACCAGCCAGCCTGAAACGCTAGTGGGTGTTTGCATTCCATATGCAATTCTATTAATCCAATATTAAAACTCCCTCATAAACTAGAGTAGCAGTTGGTTTCCGCTTCCCAAAGCCAGTCCAGAATTTTTGATACTTACTACCCTGCTCTTTTCCCTTGCCATAACATATCCTCCATTACTCAATATACCTCTTGATTAAAAAGAGAGAGAGAGAGAGAGATTGGGAAAAATACAGAAGTTTCCAGTTTCGGTGTATAAACTGTCACCAGGTGATCTACTGTATTCATCAAATATTGGAGTAAAGGGTCCTGATCCTGCTATATATGAAGCCATTGGACATAATTGTGGATGGTTCCTGCGTAGGGGAGAGATGTCATGGTGCTTCTCCATCCGCCACAAGCCCTCTGGGAAAGCAGTCCATGCTCATCTTTACAAATCACCCTAGTTCCATGGAAGTTTTCCTTCCTAGTGCCCCAGTGGGTGCTAGCTATCTGAAAGGTTATAAAGAAGGGCAGCAGTAAGGCAGAGCAGGGGAAGAGAAGGGTTACTTACCTGTAATTGGAGGGATGTGTAGTCCCTATCTGTATTCCACAGAGGGTTTATGCATGTGCCCATGCATCCGGTGCCAGAGAATTTGAAAGTAGTCGTGTCCGTTAGTCCGTGCACATGCCCTTTCTTCACCTCATGGTTCCATCTGAGGCGATAAAGGGCAGGGTGGACTGACCGCATCTACGGTTCCTTCTCCACCGCAAATCAAACAGATCTACAGCAGAGGGGAAGGAGGGTGGGACTGGACTACAGATAGGGACCACACATCTTGGAAGAACCTCCAGTTACAGGTAAGTAACTTCCTCTTCTTCTTCGAATGATGGTCCCTATTGTATTCCACTGAGGTGACTGACAAGCAGTACCTAATTTAGAGAAAAGTGTGAGGAAGAGGATGAAACAGTTGAACGGAGGACAGCCAGCCAAATGAGGCATCTGTTGCAGAGTTCTGCACCAAGGCATAGTGTGAAGCAAAGGTATTCACCGAACACTACATGGCTGCTCTGGATATGTCTGGAAACAAGACATTGTGGAGGGTGACTGTAGTCGATGCCTGGGCTCTTGCAGAATGTGCTCTCACTCCAAGGGGTAGGTGCAGTTCTGACAACTGGTAGAGTGCAATACACCCCGAAATCCATTTGGAAATCCTCTGTGTGGAGATTGCCTGCCCCTTAATCTTCTCAGTTACAGCGATCAATAGTCTAGGGGACTTCCTGATTGGTTTCGTCCTCTAAAGGTAGAAGGCCAAGGCCCTGCAGACAGAAGGCATCGCTCCTCCACTGAGGCGTGAGACTTTGGAAAGAAAGCAGATAAGTGTATGGGTTGGTTGACATGAAACCAGGATATGAGCTTTGGTAGAAACTTGGGGTGTAGGCGCAGGGAGACTTTGTCCTTATGAAACATGGTGAAAGGGGGATCTGCCATCATGGCCCCAAGTTCACCTACCCCTCTTGCCAAAGTAATAGCAAGTAGGAAGGTGACTTTCATGGAAAGGAGGTACATAGAGCATGAAGCCAGAGGCTCTACGGGCAGCTTCATTAATGCTGATAGAACGAGGTTGAGGTCCCACTGGGGAGTGATAGGTGGTATGGGTGAGAAAGTCCTGAGGAGATCTTTCCAAAACATGGTAGTCAACAGATGTGTAAATATGGAGTATCCTTCCATGGGAGAGTGGAAGGCACTGATGGCTGCTATGTGGAGCTTGAGAGAATTGAGGGAGAGCCCTGATGTCTTCCAGGACAGGAGGTAGTCCAAAAGAAGAGGCATGTCCACTTCCTCAGGGGAAAGCCCTTTCTGCTGGGCCCAGGAAGTGATGTGTTTCCACTTGGCCCAATAGGGATTCTTGACTTGTCTCTTTCCTGCAGCTCGAAAGGATGTCTTGCACTGCCAATGAATACTCTCGTTCTAGAGAAGATGCCCATCCAAATACCAAGCTCTGAGGTGAAGCATCTGTGCATTGGGATGTCTGATCTTGCCGTTGTGCTGCATGAGCAGCTCCTGGAAAGCGGGTAAGGGTAGTGGGGGATGGGCCGACATGTGAAGAAGGTTGGGAAACCAAAACTGGAGCGGCCAGAATGGGGTGATCAGAAGAACTGTGGCTCTCTGCCACCTGTTCTTGTGGAGGACTTGTGGGAGCAGTAGAAGAGGAGGGAAGGCATAGTTGATCTGGTCCGACCAATGGAGGATGAAGGCATCACCTTGAGAATAGATACTGACACCCCACCTTTAGCAGTATGTACTGCATTTGTTGTTGACATGGTATAGAATCATAGAATCATAGAATATCAGGGTTGGAAGGGACCCCAGGAGGTCATCTAGTCCAACCCCCTGCTCAAAGCAGGACCAATTCCCAACTAAATCAGTTGGTAGGCAAAGAGGTCTCTGGTTGGAGACCCCCATTAGCTGAAGAAGTCATTTAGCATGGAGTCATGAAGCTCCCAAGTGGCGACAAATCTTCTGCTGAGAGAGACTGCAATCACATTGTGAGTCCCTGAAAAATAGGTTGCCGACAACAGGCTTTTATGGGCAATGCACCAATCCCAGAGATTGACTGCTTCTGCACATAGAGTAGTCATCCTCGTGCCCACTTGTTTGTTGATGTAATAAATGGTCGTAGTGTTGTCCAACTTCCTAAAAACATGACAGGAGCAAATGGATGGGAGAAATGCTTGACATGTTCAGACCACCCAGAGTTCCAGAATGTTGATGCACATCCTGGAATCCTGAGGGGTCCATGTCCCTTGCATTATGTGGTCTCCCATGTGC